ATTACTAAGGAAGATCAAGAACAGAGCTTGATTCCCTTCGCAACCGGGTTCTACTTGTTCTATAAATGGGGAGTAGACTACAAAGGACCTAACGAGAATGTCACACTCGCGATCTACCACATGGCCCAGAATGTAGGGTGCATCCGCAGGTAAACAATATTTAAACACCACGCTTACATAATGTCGACCACTTAGCTCACTTGAGTACTGAGCTAAGCGCTTTACAAACTCATGCATAAATTCATTATCAATCATGACTATATCAAGCATACTACCAAAGCAAAGTAGGAACATAATAAATAGAAACATAGTATTGAAATAACATAAGGTCACAAAATATAGATGATACAATGGCTTTACCAGCCTCTAGACGGCGAATCCAGAATCCTAAGCAATAGCCCAACTCTACTTAAATCCTGCTAGCTAGCTTATACTAGAACTTGAAGAATTAGAAATCTATTCTACTCTCTCTAGAAACCCTAACTTCTGATCCTTCTTGACTTAATGATCAGGGTTATTGATTGATGCCCTCGGCGGGTGGCAGGGACTGGTATATATAGGGGGTAGCGTCAATCCTAGACCCTCGGATCAAACTGACTTGAAAGAACGGCGGAGATGCAAATCTAAGGCGGTGGGAAACCGACGTAGCGAGGAGGGACTGATAGGTGGGGCCGACCGGCCTCACCTGTCCCCCTCTCGTGGTCTTCTTTGGTGGAGTACCTTCTGGTGTCCTTTAAAACCTTTTAGAGCTATTTTCGTCGCGGATAATTGTGTTTAATTCCGACGATTGGGTCCACCTTGACGAATTTCTGAATAAACCCTGCTAAAAACACAGATTCACCAAAACTCATGGAATTTGTTAGTTTAAACCCCTAAACTTATGTTGGTAATCATTTTTATGTCTTTATACAAGTTATGTTGGCAGTTTGTGATGGATGATAACTACCGTCAACACTGATGAAGATGACTATTGTAACTTAAAATATCTTTTTTTAACGAATCAGGCAGGAGAGCTACCGATTATATTAAAAAGCTGATGAAGCCCAGACTGGGCAAAAATAAACAGATACAACTCCGATCAGTTGGATTAGGACATCAACACACACCGAAACCCCCAAACTAAAGAGGAAGAAAAAACAGCTCTAGCCGGTTGGAATGGGACATCGACACGATCCGCGACAGCATAAAACACACGTTTCACCACCACCAAACCACCACGAATTGGTCACTACACTGCGCCACCACCGCCCGAAAGACAAAGCCTTCAAGACAAAAACACCCTCATCACCGCTTGTGCCATCGTTGCCGACGATGTCCCGCATCGAGTAGCCCGCTGCTAAGCAGGGCTAGCCGCTGCAAGCCGTGTAGCCCTTCCACTATCAGATCCGCTTGCGCCATCTCTGAAAACATTGTCCCACACCGGAGTAGCCACTACAAAGTAGGGCCACCCGCCACAGGCCGCTGCAAGCTGCCAAACCAACACGAGAGGAGCTGCCATAGGCGCACACCAAGCCGACCCCACCCACCGAGATCCACGCATGTGCACCGCATCTTCCAGTAGCCTAGTTGTCTCATCGAAGGTAGAAGTGCCACACAGGTCCTCCGGCTACCGGTCAGAAGCCTCCTTGCGCCGAAACAGCCGTCGCTAAGCAGGACCGCCCACCGCCAGACCACGCAGGTCACCTCGGCAACGCAAGTATGCTGGCCACCACCTCCCACGTCGGCCTCCTCGCCAACTCCATGGACGCCTCCCACACGCCGGCCTCCTCGCCAACTTCGGGGTTGCAACTAGCGTATGGTCCCACCAGACCGTTGCCCTCCACTACCAAGCAGATGTGAGGCCCTTCAATCGCCATGCCAACTCCCTTCTCTTGACAGCCTTCTTCTGCCGTGGACACCACAAACTTGGATCCTTAACTAGGCCTCCATCTTCCTCGCCACGACGCTGGCTGCTGCAGCAGACTGACCGAGCACGAGTCCAAAACAACGCCTCCAAGGAGGAACACGACGCCATCGGCGCCGCCGTCGCCTGACCAGAAGGTAAGTTTTCACCCAGGACACCATGCAAAGGGAGAGGACCTTTCGATGAACGCTTCCAACAAAGAAAACAGCACCCGGAAGTGTCGTCGCCATCGGCCCAACAGGGGCAAAGCTTTCGCCATGGCGCCACTACCCCGTGCACGACAATGGTCACAGTTCGTCCGCTACGGCAGCCGCCATGCCGTCATTGCCGCCCCGCGAGTCGCCACGCGCGTAGATGCCAGCACACACCACCCTGCCCTGTTGCAGCCGCCGCAATCTCACTCGGCCACTGCCGTGGCCCTTCCTCGCCTGCGCAGATCTGGCCTCGCACGCTGGACCCGACCCTTCGCCACCGCTGCCTCCTTGCGCCCGCACAGGCACTGACCTACGCCGCCGCAGCCATTGCAGGCCATCCGCCGCACCCCCAGTGCCTGCTGTCCACCCCTAGGCGCAGCACGCCGGCACTGCGTGGATCCGGCCCCAGGATTGCCGGATCCCGTCGCGGGGGAAGGAGACCTGCCCTGGTCGGTCGTCGTTGCATCCCGGCGATGCTCGGACTGCCGCCGCAGCCGGAGAAGGGCCAACGCCGGAGCACCACGCACATCCGGCCCTAGGAACGCCGGATCCGGCTGCTAGGACAGGGAAGCCGCCGCCAGCCGCCATGACCGCCACCTCGATGCCCGAAACCACCGGTGCGCCCTGAGCTTGGGATGAAGGGCCCGCCGCCGCCTTCCTTCCGCCCGCGCGGGCTTCCGGCGGCGCGCTCTGGCGGTGGTGAGGGAGTGGAAGATGGGGAGAGGGTTCAGCGGTGCGGTGGACGTCCATGTCGCCCGAGGTGGATGACGCGGACGGGCGTGGGTTTCGTGTTTTTCCAATACCTCAAAATATCTAGTATATGCAGGTGGAAGGATGAATTTCATTCTTCGCTTAACCAAAAACATGTTTATCTTCCCAACCTACTCATTCAAAAACTATTGGTGGCGAAGGTTGTTAGTTTAAAAGAAACTCCGGATATTATTTTGGTCATTAGCACGATCCGCTACAACTGGTGGGAGCTCGATTGCTGGATCGTTACATAACTTACATTTGGTAATATGCGTGTTTGAATTGTGTGCTATTTTATATAGTCCAAAGCTCAAGCAAACAAGCCCTTCGTAGAAGAGATGATAGCTTAGTAAATCCTTAGATTTCCAAGATAACACTCTCCAAGTAAACTCATCTTAAATCTCAAAGCAGCTGGTAGAATGGTACCGTTTATATATATTCTGCTATATCGCTTCTGTGAGAGCAATTATAGCTGCTATGGACGCTATTTAGCAACTTGAGACCACAATGATAAATTAGAATAACAAAAAAATAGGGCGGACTCAGTGCCGGAGGCTCGTACATGAGTAGGGTCTGGAAAAGGGATAAATCGAGACAAGCCTATCCCCGCAAAATCTACGAAGAGGCTGTTTCGAATCCGACCTAAATTTCTTAGCTTTAGGTATTTCTAGTGTCAGTCCGGTTGCGAATAAAAATAATATGTTTTTTTTTATCTTAGCTAAAAAATATTTAGTTATTAAAATGAAACGATAAAATTATATTGAACAATATAATATCGGATCCGTCGAATCTATATTTATGTTCAGTGTGCTATTCGATTCTATAGCTAGAGACGACCCTAGGGATACTAGCATCGAACGACGATCGTCCACCTCAAATTGTGAGTGATTCTGGAGCCGACTTGGCGTGAGATCGTGATGTTACACGTAGCACAAGAGATGAAATAATTGAGCCGAAAAGATGAGTTTAAGGACTAAAATGCACTTTGATAGATCATTAATGAATTTGAGTCTAAAATACAGAGTTTAAAAACTAAAACAGTCATTTTGGTAGGTCACTTTGATAGTTCTAAGATGAAACTGATTCCAAAAAGAAAATTTTGAGCTGACCAAAATGACAGTTCCACCTCAAAAAATCTGTTATTAGCATGTGGAAGGATGAATTTCATTCTTCCTTTAACCAAAAACACGTTTTTCTTCCCAACCTTTCTCATTGAAACCTAGGGTGGTTGGTGACGAAGGTAGTTTGAAAGAAACTCTGGTGATTATTTTGGTCATTTGCACGATCTGCTACAACCTGGTGGGAGCTAGATTGCTGGATCGTTACATTGGGTAATCTGCGTGTTTGAATTGTGTTGCTTTAGTTTTATATATAGTCCAAAGCTCAAGCAAACAAACCCTTTGTAGAAGAGATGATAGAATAATATATCCTCAGATTTCCAAGATAACAACACTCTCCCAGTACAGTCATCTTAAATTTCAAAGCAGCTGGGTAGAATGGTTTCCTTTTTCTTGTTAATAAATAAAGAGGGAAAAAAGAAAAGTGATAACACAAGAGTGCCTAAATCAAAACCCAGACGCCACACTCCAATCCCTCACTGATTTCACTGTTCAGAGGAGCTCAGGTTCTTTGTGTCACCAGAAATGGATGTGAGATTTTTATAAAATATTACTGTCCATTCGTTCAAAAAAAAAAGTAGTACTACGCTATTGTATTTACACACAGTAGAAAAACATGCTGGCCAAAAAATAGCTTGTATAGTGGAGGCATAATCATATTATCCATATATGCTCAGAGGAATATTTGTTCAGGTAGAATCTGCACCATGATCTCCATCCACCTCATCTTTTGCAGGCAGTCTGCAGTGCAGAGTACAATACTAACAATGGCCATTGCTCACAGCATAAGCAGAGCTGGTTAACGTCGCTAAACTTTTTACAGTAGATATCACCAAGCATTAGCCTTACAACAACCGGTTACTGGCTAACCATGCATTTTTTACATGTAATTAACAACCTCCCTCACAAACACACATCTCATACCATTTATATAACCCAGAAAGTTAAAAAAAAAGTACTTACTAATAAAAAAGGGTAAAAAGGAGTTACTACACGAGTGATCAGGGAGCCCCAGGTGAATACAGAACAGGCTGCTCAATGCACCTTCTTGGAGAAGAGCCCCTTGATGCCGAACAACCCGCCGCCGCCGACGACGCCAGAGCCGGGGCCGCGGGCGGCGCCGACGTCCGCCCGCCGGCAGCTGACCTGGTGCCGGTACCCGATGCACGAGTTCACGCTCAGGTTCAGGCTGCGGACGCCGCCGCCCAGGCCGGGCTTCCGGCCGTTGTTGGCAGCGCCGGCGGGTTTCTCCTTGTGCTGCTGCTGCGGCGGCGCCCGCCTGTCGTTGAACAGATCTGAGGCTGAGGCGACGGGGACAGGGACGGGGCCAGGCGCAGGCTTGGCCGCCGGGCGTCGGATCTGCCAGACCGGGCTGGACCGGCCCACCGGCACGCCGCCTCCGGAGCGGCCCGGGCTCGCCGCCCACCGCCGGAGCGGAGGGGCGCCACCGGCCTCGCCGCGGGAGTTGCTGCGCGAGCACGGCGCGCTGCTGACCTTCCTCGCGGGGGGCCGCGGCTTGGACGAGCCGGACCCGGACCCGCCGCCGGCCGAGCGGCTCCGCGAGAAGGGCCAGATGTTGATGTTCAGCTCCGAGCTTGCGCCGCCGCCGGAGTGCCCGCCGCCCAGTTTCCGGCTGCCGGCGCCGTCCTTCCGCTTCTCCTTCTCCTTATCCCGGTCCTTCTCCTCGGCTACCGGCGCCGGCTTCTTGGAGAAGATGTCGGTCCAGCGCTTGGACCCTCCTCCTCCTCCGGAGGCGGTGGGCGGCGCCGGGGACGTAATCGAGGCCGTAGGAGGCGCGACGGTCACAAGAAGGGACGCCTCCCCTACCTCCGGCTCCGGCTCCAGTTCCGCCACGGGCGCACTTTGGCTGATGCCGCTGCCGCTGTTCCTGGACGCTGGCTTCGGTGGGAGGACGGGGAGCGGGAGGAGTACCCCGCCGGCGAAGAGCTCGTCGGCGCAGGAGGGCGAGGCGGCGGGGTTGGGGTGGAGCGGCCAGAACTCGAACTCCGGTGAGGAGGACGCGCTGCTGCTCCTCCTCGCCTCGGCGGCGTCCATGGCTGCCTGGGAGTGGGAGGAGCCGGCCGCTGTCTGCTTGCTCCGATTGCTTCGGCTCCCTGCGAGGTGGTGGAATGGGGAGGGGAGAGGAAGGTGGGGAGGTGGCCGCGCGCGGCTTTGTATGGGTGGGTACGCGAGGCAGACGAAGGCCTTAGGCTGTCTTCTACACTAACCCATTGTCAAATCCAAATCTAAAATAGATCTTTAATATAGCGAGTCCGAAAGATTCATTTTAGTTATAAGAAGAGAGATAATTTAAATCTGAGTATATTTTTTATAAAAATTTATATTTATTTACAGAAAGAGTTGTCATTTAAACTAAAAATAAGTATTAAACTCTTTAACCATGGCGCGAGAACGAATGAGTGTTATATTTGGGTCACGGTAAGACAGTCTAATGGAGCCGATGGGTAGTTGGGCCCCACGCACGCCATCCCAATGCTGCCATGATATAATAAGTGGGTGGGACCCGCGGACGGTGGTGGGCAGGGTTGGCCGTGGCCGGTTGAGCCGGTGGCAATTTGGCAATGGCAAATAACAGTTTTTTTTATCTGCATTCTTTTACTCATTTTGAATTAGCTTTATATTTTCTAGCGTTTTTTTTTCTTTTGAAAGTGGAGAACATAGGTTTTTTTTTCGACGAGTGGAGAACATAGGGTCGAGCGACTTCAACCGGACTATTTCTGGTGCAGGTTAACACATTTCTATCCGTCTCATAAAAAGTATCATTCTCATCTAAAAAGTTTAAATCTTTTTAATTTTGAGTAAATATATATAAAAATATTAATACACATGTTGTATAATTAGTATTATTAAAAAATATTAAATATATTTTCTTAATAAATTTATTTTAAAGATAAAAATGTTGTTAATATTTTTTCTACAAACATAATCCAATTTAAAAGTGTTTGACCAGTACAATCTCCTATAGCGCCATTTTTTAAGATGGAGGGAGTACGTCACTACACTAATCTTAATGCACGGGCGAAGCAAGCATGCAAGGTCTTCGGGGACAGTAGGCTTGACCGACAAGGTCAAATAGCTTGATGCACGGTTAGGAATGGCAACGGGGCGGATTCAGATCGGGTGGAGTCCCTACGCACCCTAAACCGAAACCCAAATCCGCCCTGAACACCGATTCGGGTGGAAATTCATCCCCGAAATCGAAACCACCGGATCCACGAAACCCGATGGATTATCCAAAAACCCGAGAGAATACTACACCAACTGGGTTCATGGTTCGGCTGTGCTTCGTCCCAAGCGCACGCGTGTGCCGTCTGACCCCTTGCGGTCGTGCGCCATCTCCTCGGCCCTCACCTCTGCCCACGGCAAGGTGCGCCAGCGGGCAGCCCCGGCTGGGCGCGCGCTATGGCTGTTGGCAGTTGGTGGGCAGCGGCCAAGGTGCCGAGCCGGCCGTCGCGTGAGTCGGACATTGAGAAATAGAGAGGAGAGGTTGTGTATGACGGAGAGGTGGGGAGGCTGAACACGGTGTCGCAGGGGCAGTGAGGTGGGGGTGTGAGTCCGCGCGAGAGAGAGAGGCCGAGAGTCCTGTCTTGTGTGCGCCGTCGGATGAGGTGGGTGGGCGATGGCCTGGTGAGGGGTGAGGGAGAGGGATTGAGGGTGTTTGAGAGTTATATATATACCTAGGGTTGTTAATGGGCTGCTACTGGGCTGCCTTGTTTCGAGCCCCAATAGTGATCCACGGGTTAAGTTGAAATTTTGCCCCAAATCCGTTAACTTTCGGGTATCCGAACCCAAAAACCGTGGGCGAAAAACTACATCCGAAACCAAAACCGCTGGACCCAAAACCTATGGATATCCAACCCGAAACCGCCCCATTGCCATCCTTATGCACGGTGCTAGCTAGTGATTTCCCATTGCTTTGGCCAAAAGTCGTCGGGGTCACCCCCGATGGCACACAAATACTAATGTACACACATTGTCACATGAGTACAGAACATGGGGTGTTTGGATCTGGGGACTCGAACGTTCGGATACTAATTAGGAAGATTAAATATGAGATAATTATAAAACTAATTGCACTGTTGGAGACTAATTTGCGAGATGAATCTATTAAGCCTAATTAATCTATTAGCACATGTTTACTGTAGCACACCACATTATCAAATCATGGACTAATTAGGTTTAATAGATTCATCTCGCAAATTAGTCTCCATCTATGTAGTTTTGTAATTAGTCTATGTTTAATACTTCAAATTAGTGTCAATCATCCGATGTGACAGGGATTAAAGTTTAGTCAGGGGTATCCAAACACCCAGTCTTTAAATCCAAATCTTCCAAGTGTGCGCTTCTATGTCCTTGCTTCAAACTTGCATTGATCTTGTGCAGTAGCAATCCTTCGCATCCTAGTTTACTTAGAAACTCTTGAGGTTAGGCCTTAAAGTTTGGTCTTGTGTAGTAGCAATCCTTCGCATCCTCGTTTACTTAGAAAACTTTGATGTCAAAAGGAAGCCACCAAAGTGGGAACCCCACGTGGAACTATAAAGACAACACCTTCTGGAAGGAATATGAAGTAGCAACATCGTCATTGCCCGCCCAACATGACAGGGATTTCACCCACAAGATCCACGTCGAGAGAGGAGGGGTGCATCAACAGACACCTCCAAGGAGTTATACGGCTCACAGAGGCATCGTCACCGTTAGCCCAACAACAACACAATGGCTTTCGCCTAGCACCCAACCCACTCCTAGCAACAACACACCAATGACTAGCATAATCGAGCGTTGATGGCTGCACATCGACTACGGCTACCACCACACAATCCCATACACCAACGAGGGAACGGGGAACACAAATCCATCAATCAAGAGCAAATTGGAGCACCAGCAGCCCTCGCTGATGCCAATGCCCTGCACCACCACCGTCGATACCACAATGCTCGGTAACACTAGATCCATAACAGGGACCGTCGAATCCATGCCCAGAGCTCGTATCTAGACCCCAGCCATCAAGCTCTACGAGCCTTTCCCTAGCACTAAACTAGGCAGACACAAGCTGCTGCTGCCACCAACAATGTCATGTCATCGCCATCTTGCCCACGTGGTCAATGACCCTTGACCACTCACGGGTCTCCTCGACGCACCGTTGCACACAAGCTTCTCGCCCTTCCATGGATTTGCTCCTGCCCATGGTGAAAGCAATGGATCCGAACAAGAGGATGTCGGATCTGGCAGAGCGTGCGCCAGCTCTAGCCAAGGGGCCAAATCAGGTCACCATCGTTGTAGCCCATGATGGATTTAGGGACTTTGGCCACCGTCCACTCAACGTGTAGACCTCCAATGTAGCTCTAGCAGCGGCAACATGGATGTGGAGAAGCATCTTCGGTGCACCAAAATCGACCACGGATGGAGCAGCCGCCGCCTCCTCTACGAGAGCCTACTCAAGCCTGAGCCTGACAAGAAGAAACCCCATCGTCGCCTTCCTTGTGGTCGCACGGACCATCGGCGATCCACTTAGGTCGCGTCAAGACTGGATAGATGAGGGATGTGGATGGTAGCGCGATGATCTCAGGTTTCCACCCAAGTCAAGTGAAATGCTTTTAAATGTTTTCTCTTAATACTTATTCAGCACCAAACAGAGTCATGTTATGCTATTATATAACCAAATCTTGACTCTAGTGAGATTTTTTACTTATATTTGGGGAAGGTGGGGATAGCTGAAACTACTCACCAAAAAGGAAGAATTGAAAAATGAGTGAGCCAACTGTGAGTCCCTATGCTCAGACAAATATGATAGTATCAAACTCCGCTCTGTTGAATTATTATGACATGGCCAAATAGAACTTAGTCTAGCTTACTATTGGTTGAATTTATCATCAACATTGAAATATATGTAGTCTAATTTGTTGATCAATGAGTTATGTAATGCTATGATGAGATGCAATTTTATATATAACTACCAAATATGCGGATCCATTTGTAGGACAAGTTAATGCATGCTTATCTGTCTAACTTTGTGGCTGTGCTTGTTTAAACTTGTGCGAGATGATTGTTGGTTTTGGTCATGTGTTTTCGAAATGTCCTTGCTCTTAAATTCATGACCAAAGGTTCTTTCCTTGTTTGTGATATAGCATGTTATATTGCATTACACTTTTGTATATGCTTGTTCACACACACTTGTTACACTATACCACAGCCCAGATTTAGCATCGCCAGATGGGTCATTATAAGCCGTTTCAGTGACCTACGGTCAGTGGTTATAAACCTATAGCGACCCTTATATCTGTTGTTGATTCTGGCGTCGCTATAAACTTTTAACGTCCTACCGACTTTTAACGACCGACCGTCTAACGTTATGTAAAAGATATAACGACAGACGTTCTAACACCTTTTATAAACTTATAACGACAGACTGTCTGATGATATATATTTATAGCGACCAATTGCCCAACGCTATGCATACAAAAAAATAACATATAATAACATGTATTGTTTATATGTTAACCATACAATCAACACTAACCATATCATACATTCAAACAATACACAGTCATGGAACACATATATAAACTGGACCAAAGCTCACCAGTTATATTAAAGCCATCATAATATGTCATGCCATTTTACACACAATTCATGGCAAACAAGAGCTAAGATGAAATAAGTTTGGCCAAAATGCTAGACGTACTAGAGATATTCGGTTCCACAACTCATATCTCATTGTTTGCTTCCACTCTTTACAAAATGATCCACCTCTAGTAAGTCCAAACAAAAGTTTTCATCTATAGCTAGGATGTCCAAAACATGTCATCATGAGCACTTTTATCAAATCAGTGGCTGCAGTCTACTTCCAGCTATTTCCTCCCACCACCTGTAAATAAAAGTTGAAATTCATCAAAAAAAAAAACAACCAAAAACTTCATAAAAGGCACCAGTCGTAGGAGGCACCAACACCAAAGACTCAAAGACAAGGCAAAGAAGCAAAGACAATTGGTATTCATTGAATCAAAATTCATTTATGATGCATATTAATTTCAGAT